GTGGCCGTCCTCGCCCGAACGCCGAGCCGGCGTGCCGCTGCACCCCCGCCGATCGTCCCCCTGTTCGGGTGTCCATGTCAATACAATAATTCGGCGGGGTTTGTGAAAGAGAGCAGGGTCTTGGTGCAAATCGTCGTTTCTCTTCTGGCCGAAGCAGCTACGCCCTTGACCAGAGGGCTGGAGCAGCTCTGCTCCAAGGACAGGCTGAGGGAGCTGGGGCTGTTCAGCCTGGAGAGGAGAAGGCTCCGGGGTGACCTTAGAGCAGTGCCAGTGCCTGAAGGGGCCGACAGGAAGGATGGAGAGGGGCTTTTCACAAGGGTGTGCAGTGATAGGACAAGGGGGAACGGCTCTAAACTAAAAGAGGGCAGATTTAGATTCGATCTAAGGAAGAAATTCTTCCCCATGAGGGTGGTGAGGCCCTGGTCCAGGTTGCCCAGAGAAGCTGTGGCTGCCCCCTCCCTGGCAGGGTTCAAGGCCAGGCTGGATGGAGCTCTGAGCACCCTGGTCTGGTGCAAGATGTCCCTGCTCATGGCAGGGGGGCTGGAACCAGATGATCTTTAAGGTCCCTTCCAACCCAAACCATTCTATGATTCTATGAATCCTGCAGCGGTTTATTCTTTCCCTGAGTTGCAATTGTTTGCTTTTCCTTTTAGCCTCCATCCTCTCTGTCCTTCCCATGCTCAGGTTTGTGGTTTGACCCCAGAATCAGAGGTGGTGGCGGAGCGGGGACGGAATGGAGGATGTGGAAGGGTAGGGAGAGTTTCTCTTTGCCCGCCTAGATTTCAGCCCAGGAGGGATAAATCCAGCTGCTCGTGTTGTCCCCCTTTTCTGTAGGGGTGAGACGTGCAGGGCGGCTGCTGGGCTGTAGCCTGCTACCCTCGGTTTCTGTTTCATCCCAGGGATGAAAGGCTCCAAGGAGGAATATTTAACTGCACTTAAGTGTCTTTCTGTGGAGAGGGACCTGGGAGTGCTGGGGGACGACAGGGTGACCATGAGCCAGCAGCGTGCCCTGGGTGCCAAGGAGGCCAATGGGATCCTGGGGTGCATTAGGAGGAGTGTGGGCAGCAGGTCGAGGGAGGTTCTCCTCCCCCTCTGCTCGGCCCTGCCCTGGTGAGGCCCCATCTGGAGTCCTGTGTCCAGTGCTGGGCTCCCCAGTTCAAGAAAGATGAGGAGCTGCTGGAGAGAGTCCAGCGCAGGGCTACGAGGATGAGGAGGGGACTGGAGCATCTCTCCTACGAGGAGAGGCTGGGGGAGCTGGGCTTGTTCATCCTGGAGAAGAGAAGGCTGAGAGGGGACCTTCGAAATGCCTCTAAATATC